GCAGCACCCCCCACCAACACACACACCTAACACTGGTGCATAAATCTAAATATTGGGGCTCAATAATTAGCATGTGTGGGAAGAGCAAAAGTGAGATGCCTCTAAGCAATTATTTGGAAGTTTTCCCGTACTTTTGAAAACATCCTTGACGCCTCATTTCTTTCATGGCTGCTCAATAGATAACCATGAGAGGCAGGCTGAGCCGTCCCCTCCCCAGCTTTCCTCTTGCGTGCAGTGCTTTCATCCAGGGCTTGAATTGTGTTGTCAACGTTTAGTAGACGAAAGAGGAGGGGGCATGAGAACTGGGGGGGGGGGTCTTGAAAAGTCTTGGAAATCGGTATTTTTGCAGGTGTAGAATGTGCCTAATAACCATGGCTAGTGCGTGCTCCCCAATGGCGAGGGTATGACAGGGACAGCTGGCTCAGTTTTCAGCGTGAAAACACCCCCTCGGTGGACCAAACACAACGACACTGACCTTTCTGCAGGGGGAACGGAGATGTGCCTTTGACTGAATTAGCCATAAAGACGTCTTGCTATGACTTTTGTTCCCCACGAAAGCCAAGAAATATTGCGTTTAATATGAGAAGTACTGTTCACAGCTTTTCTGTGCCCCTTAAGAAATATTACAGTGCTGATTTACTGGCCCTCTTCCACAGAGCTGGCCCCAAGGCCGGGGGTGGAGGGGTGGGGATGGGGTAGCAGGGACAGAGGAGGCGGCAGCAGAGAGAACGCGCTAAATTGCCTGTTGCCTGTTTCCAAAGTTCTCCCTTTGCAGCAGCAAATTTATCAATCTTTTCATCTGACAATACTTTGAAATATATCATTGTCATCCAGAGTTGTTTGATAGATTATCTGCAGGCACACAGCCTTTTCCAAGGTCAAGTTGAAGATTCTTGTTTGCTGTTTAACTGGGTTGTTTAAAAACTCAGAACAATGCCTGCCTGTTAAATTTTCACTTGTTCTCATGGGGCATTCTGAAGCAAGCTTTCCTATTGACCGAGAGTCGGGACATTTCATCTTCCTGAGCTTCTAAACTCAGCTACCAGGGCTTGGCAATGAAATTAACAGGAGAAGAAATGAGATTTAACCTTAGCAATTACAGACACCAAGGAGATTAAGCCATCTCTCACATCTCCTGAAAAGTGTGTACTAATTTTTCTCTGCATGTCGCGGGCTGGTTATAGCCACACATCTATTCAACTTTCTGCCTTTATTACAGTGGGAAGCTTCAGATACACGCCCCTAAAGTAGAAGCGCAAAGAAATTGTGGCCACTCTTGTCTTTGTTAGCAAATAACCTGTTGCTCCAAGCACATTTTATAATAAAGCCAGCTTCTAAATCGTCATGTTTTACGGATATATTTATTTGTTTTTATTGGAAAAACAGGCTTCACAGTTTCCTCTATATATGAGATGACTGATTTTTTTTTTTATTCAGCCAACTTTTATTTACCTTGCAAAAATGTTCTGGACCAATGTGATAAATTACAGATATGCAAATTCCTTTGAATGGTGTTGTAAGTGTGTCTAGCTGGAGCTGAATAACGCCTTGCAAGTCAGTCTGTGCGCGCTCAGGACCCCAGGGAGCTGATCAAAGCACCCATTCTCTTTCATCCCCGGTATTCTCCTCCAAACTATTTCGATACAATATGTTTCCATGATGCACTTAATGTGCTAGGGACATAGAACTCATTACAACCTAGCTAGTTCTGCCGACCTCTTTGTTCCAAGGCAGAAAGTCAAAGAAAAAAGGAAAAGCGCAGCCAGTTGCCAGCTTTCTGAAATGCTAAAGCATGCGTCATTTTTCACCAGGTCTCGTCTTGATATCCTCAAAAGACAAACTATGAAACCGGCCTCAGCCCTTTCTGGCATTAATTACACTGCTGTCCAGCCGATCTGTTTTTCCTATTATATGCATTTCTCAGCAGGGATTTTTTTTTTGCAAGACTAATGCAGCTGCAAGTTAAACTATGAATGCATTTTTATCACTATGGAAAAATAAGTTGAAAAGGCTGCAAAACATACAGGAAACTTTGTTAAAGGTCTCTGGTAGATAAGATTTAGAGTGGGACTTAGGAGGTTTTTGCAACTTCTTTAAACCCTGAAATTGACTAAGTGCCTCAGGCATTTCCAACGCACCCTCAGTGTTCTGTGGAGACACTCACTGTGCCATTTGAAATTCTGCTTTGGTACCCAGATAAATCTTGAAGGTAATACCTTTCAGGCTTTCTGATACAATTCTAAAATGAAACAGCCTGATCTACACCCAACCAGGAGGTTGCTTCCAAGGAATTTCCGTCCAGGATAATAGCACAGAGAATATAAATTCTATTTCATTTCCTCCATTTCTTGTAGGGTTGATTGGTTGGTGGAAATGGCTGGCAGCCAGTTCTGGGAAAGATTCCAGACCTGACTCCGATTAACCCTCTCTGGTGAAACTCTGCTGGAAACCAACTCACCAGCAATTGCCATTAATCTACTTACTAATTAAGCCAATTCATTTCTAAAGGAGAAAAATTCCTTTCTTTAGCCAAACTGATGGGAGGAAATTTGAAAGAAGCGCCAAACTGTGTAACTGTAATTCAGCCAAGGACTGCTAAAACAAGGTGTTGATATATAGCAGCAGATTTAAAACAAGTTTCTAGGGCAACACTCCTTTGGAGACGGTGGCATATAGTGCATAGTAGATGGAGCTCGAATAATGCTCCACCACGCTATGCCACCCTCTGTCCTTGCCTTGAAAATAACGTCTCTCTTCAATTAAACCCAGTGCCTTTTACGCGCAAATAAATTGCCTAGCTTTCTTTTGCACCAGAGTGTATCAGCTTTATGCGACAGCTACCACCAATATATTTCTTCGGATTTAATAAACAGCTTTAGAAATCTGTAATCCACAGCCTACAGACTGGGCCTGACTGGTAGTCAGGGGAACAGAAAGGCCCGAGTTGGCCGTGACGCATGGAAGAAAGCAAACTGGTCTTTTCAGGAAATGGGACCTGACGTTCTGGAAAGACTAGATATGTGAATCTTCACCTTCATATTTACTAGAAAGCAACACTCCAAAGAGTTTGCACATTTCCTAAAGAATTGTTTATGTATTGGGTTTAAGATACGGCTGAGAGCCCCGTGCCTGTGTGAGATGAGAGTGGACCTCCTTAAGAGGACATTTAAAATCCCCTTCCAGGTTTTACGGTTCATCTTGATGGGGTCAGTTGGCGAGGAGACAGAAAATCTGTTTGACTTCATGTTCTAGACCGCCTGGGTGCCTTAGAGAGGGAGTGACACAGGGTTAGCGCCTCAAACTTTTACATTTTAATTGAAGATCGTTCCTTCCCACCGCGAGGAGCTGGGGCACACCGCTGAGCCCAGGAAGCGCCTGGATGGATTTGGCGGTCGCTCCGGGTCTGTGCGCCCAGCTCACCAAGCACCAGCGAGCGGTTTCCTTAAGGGCTCGGAAAGATGCACAGAGAGGGCGCACTCAGTGTCCTCTTCAAGTGCAGCATGCTGGTTAGTAGACATCTGGAGAGATGGGGCAGTTATTTTAGAAATGCCTTGGAGATGGTCTCCCTTGTCAGGGAGGCAGGCCTTAGGCCAGGATGGTGAGGGCCCTCCTTCCGGAGTCCTGCTCTGTGCAGCCCACGGTCCTGTCCTGTTACTCAGTAGCTTCCGTGTCATTCACTGGCATGTTCTGGGGCATCGATGGCTTCCCCAAAGACTCTTCTTCCGGAGTTCCTGACACCATCACTGAATACATGGGAAGATGAAGAGAATTGAACTTGGTTTTACTTACTGTACATAAACCACTCCCCTCTCCTCACCCAGAGCTCTTTGCCTCTTGTTTAGTGGGTCCTCCCAGGCCTGGCCCCAGCTGGGGGGCCTGTTCAGTATCCTGGAGCCAGGAGGGAGGTAAGACAGACCTTCAGATCCTCCTTGGCCTTCAGAATAGTTCTGTGACAGTCAAGTTTTCCCCTGAGATAGTCTTCCTGATGTGCCAGACTGGAGAAATGGCCTTAGGGGCCTGTGACCAAGGCTAGCAGATGACCTTCCTCTGAAAGTTACCGCCCCAGAATTAGGAGTCATTGTAAGAGAATAAAACAAGGCAAGGGCTGTCTTGTGTTTGGGTCCAAGGATCTAACTAAGGTTTGCATTTCCATTTGCGCTTTCAGTCTTTACTCCTTAGGAAATAGAAAACTTTGAATGAGAAGGAAAGAAAAGCAACTGGGTGGGGGTCTGAAGTTGGGGAATGGGGAAGTTTTGGCCCTCCCCACCCCCACCCCCACCCTAGGCTGGGCTCTCTGCTCTGTAGGGAGGGACATTTACCTGGTGTGTAAATTGTGAGGAAAGCGTTGGGGGTCTGAGACAGGAAAGCCACAACATGGGACGTGATGTTCCAGCTTTGAAGGGGGAACAAAGGCCCGGAGCTAATCCCAGTGAAAGCCAGGAGCGTGGAGAAGGCAACAAAGAGTGGCAGCCTGCGGTCACCGGTAGGTGTCAATGTGGACACTTACAGCTGGGGCAGTGGGAGCGGGGAACACAGAGCCAGGCTGTCACTCGAAGGCTTAACATGAACAAAGATAAAAACGCGACAAGCTCAGCTTTCAATGGTGGGGAGGTTCAAAGTGGAGTGTTAGGGAGTGTATCTGGGTCAAGTCTTTTCTGCAGCGGGGCCGCTCCTTCTCCAGCCAAGTACCCGCCAGGGAAATCCTGAGGCCTTTTTCCCCAAAGTAACTTTTCTTACTAAAAGAAGAATTCTTCAGAATAATTCCTGATTCCACCCACAGCCTAAGGGGAGAGATGGAGCTTTCAAGACTTCTGGATCCCAGAGGCCCAGGTGGCTGCATTAAGCCCTAGTGAACTTGAACAGCCTTCCTTAGCTTTTGGGACAAAGGTCATGTACTCTTGCATGCATTTAATGAAAAGAAATAACATTTCCTCTTATGAAACTGTGCATACATGCAGATGAATCTATTTTAGAAAGTATTCATCCAACAGAGAAGGTTCAGTAGCAAACCACTGAAGGAATGAATAGTGGAGGCCTGGTAGAATTAAGGATGCCTGTGGTTTCTGAGTCCCTGTTAGATGTCAGCAGACAAGGCATTGGCCAGCAAATGAGTCCTCTCTATAATCTGGGAAAGATAATTGGGACTCCTCTGCTAATGCAACTGATTAGCAAAGACCATCTTAGAGAATGAGTAAGTGGAAATGACAACAAATTATGTTTATCCTGAGAATACAGACACATTGTGACCCTTAAATTCTGCTGTTAGAAGCAAAATACAAGTCTAAAAAATGACCATATAATAAAATTCTGATTTGCTTTAGTTGAAGTAAGTCTCCTAAATGATAATAATAAAAAAGGATGTAAATATCCTTAAAAGACTAATGACATTTCACAGGTAATGCAATTTAGAAAGAAACACTTCCATGTTTTCTTTTCCAACAATGTGCATTTTTGTAAACTGCTATAAATTGCAATTCAAAAGCACTGATCTCGCCATCCCCAATCATTTTTTATACTGATCAAATGAATGCAGATACTCCCATTTGGGAGGGGCGACATGACATTTCACTTGGCAGTTCTAAACAGGTCACAGACCTTTCACAGACCCTAAGGCAGTGGGAGGGAGCTCTTTACTAAACCGTGTAACCAAATCAAACCAATGGTTACCCCTTTTCAAAACCATTGGAATGGTTTGCACAATGCTATTCACATAGCAGCACAGAAACTGAAAGGATGGTCATCCAATGGAAATTTCTTTCCTTTTGTTTACACTTGCAGAGCACAAAAAGTAATACTTGGAGGAAAACAATGACATTTGCGATGATAAAAATCATAAACAATGAACATGCATTTTGGTTGGCCTGACCCGACATAGCTGTGGCCATCCATTGGTATGTATATATATGCACACGTATGTATATATGTGCATGTATATTTATTGGAGATGTTGCTTTGTTTGAAACCTTAGGCACAAAGACACAACATGGCTGCCCTCAAGATGACCTATTGCTTTCAAGTTGCTTGAACACATCAGAATTTCCATTGTTAAGGTTGATTAATTGAAACTGATAAGTTACCATGAATAAAGATTGTTTTTCTGTTTAATGTGGTGGGCCTGATTTGGTAAATGCCTCATTCATGTAGCTTTGCAGTGCAGCATATGGGCAAGACTCGTTCAGCATCACAAACATATACAATTTATTATGCTTGTATGGGCACAACCAAAAGGCTTTTCTGTGTTAATGACAAAGTTTCAATGAAAAATCCCATTTAAAGAGTCACTAGGAACATGAGGTATGATTTTGTAATTTATTCTTAGAGTTTCCATCTCTGAGTTCTTGTGAGTAGTTTAAAAGATATTACATTTAAATATAGAAAAAAATGCATACCAATCCAAATGTGATACCTTAGCATCAGTCATTGAGAATATAGCAGAATTTATCATAAATGTTACAGATGTAGGAAGAGAAAGTGCCTTTTCATCTGATGTCACCTTGTGTGTTCTGTTACTGATAAAGTTACCATAAATGTTTCATTAAGGTGCCATCAGTGAGAGCTCACAGCGCCCAGTTTACAAGAAAATGCAAAGGATGTTGGTGAATAACATGTTAGCTCCCTGATGACTTTTTTACCCCTTAATAAATGAAATCAGAAGACAATATTTAAAAATAATTTAGGGACTACTGCATGAAAATACAGTAGATTCACTAATTTTTTCACAACTTTATTACTGTTAACTTCCTTTACTTTAAAGCTGATGTCACTTTTTAAAACACTAACTACATTAAAAACTGTCATGAATATTTACCGATAAAGGTAAGTTTTGAAACTTTTTCTGATGATGTCGCACAGAAACGTTTCTCCCCTTTTTCATCAGGGCTGCTCATGTGATCACCAGAAGAATAATAACAACAAAAATATATGAGACACTTGCTAATGAACTAAAGCAATGACTGTATCAAACCATCAAAAGGATCGTTACCATATTCAGCCTTTAATGTCTTATCAAATAAATTCTCTGGTCATTCATGTCCATGAAACAGTTCAAGTTCACCCAACATTTCTCAATCAAATTAGATGCATAATCTCAGTTCAACTATTCTGGAGAGTAATAAACCACATTGGTCACAGATGACCACCGCTCGCATGCAATTCATAAAGGCCTGGGTGTCCACTGGATGGCTGATCAGTGCACCGTCACTTGTAAAATTCCCTCCTGCATTTTGGAGTGATAATCTGTATCTAATTTTTAAAGAAAAATTTACTCTCCTTTCACTCTTCTGAGGCCAACTTCTTTTCGGGACCTGAATAGAGATCATTGGTGTAACAGTACCAAGTAGCTTTGTTTGGTATGTGTGTAACAAAAACCCACCTCTTTGTAGAACATAACAAATTATGCGATGTTCACAGATGCGCTTCACATTGTGCCTTTTGTGAGAAAATCAAGGCCCAGCCCCCCTCTTTATGAAAGCCTGGCTCCCAGTGCAATCTGCCCTCGTCCTAGGGAAAATCATTAGACCTAATATGGAAGCTTCAGATAGTTATTTAAAAGGGGATTTTTCATTCGGACTTTCGGTCTTTGTGATTTGCGCAAGTTATGAATTTGAAGTTACAAGCAAACTTGTTCCTATAAACAAGCAAGGAGGATTGAAACTTCAGTTGCTCCCCTAGCCCACATTTGATGTCTGGATATTTATCACAAATGCTGTTTTCACACAATGTCATGCTTGAATTTATAGGCAGCCAAAGAAATACAGTAATTTTTCCATTACAATTTTTTAAATGTACACACCCCAAATGCTTTATAGATATCTTTCTATAGTTTGGCTTTTTATGATCTTTACGGGGGAAGAGGCTACTAACAGACAAGCCTGATTGTAAGGAGGTAGCAATTTCTGCAGAAATGGTGACGACCGCAGAGAGGCCGTCTCAGGTTCACCCTGCCTCATGGGCCCTCCAATAAATCCTGGTAGGACTCATTGAATGTGCTAGTCTCTGAGTGTCAGACTTAGAATAGAAATTCCAAGTCCTGAGAAGACTCTGTGCATCCTCAGCTCCTAAAATTTTGCTCATAAAGTCTCTGTGGAATGAATGAATGAACGAGCAAACAGAATGTGAAACCTAGGAGGCTGAGTAGTGTGGTCCCTTTCCAGTTGCCTCCCACACTGACGGGTCTTAGTCACGAGACTTGCTTTGACTCATGAGACAGGAGCAGACGTGGTGCCAACCGAATTCCAGTCCTGGTGCAGTGGATGGAGCTCACTTTCTTTTTGCTGCTCTTAAGAACCCTGACACCACCATGAAAGCAAGATTGGGTTTGCCTGATCAGTGATGCGAAATATAAGGTATGGTTGCCCCTGTCACCCCAGCAGCCAGCCAGCTTAAGGCCATCAATGGCCAGCTAACCACAGAATATGAGCGAGTCCCAGCAAGAGAAGGCAGAGGACCTACCGCCAAGGCGCAGGCATGCATCAAGGCCCAGGAGCATGCAACAGCCTGGAGTCACGGGGAACAGGAAATCATCTGCTCTGACTGGATCAGAGCGCTCCTGGAGGGGAGAGGTAGGGATTATGCGTGGCCTTATATGCTCAGCTGAAGAATTTACTGTCATCCTGAAAGCCACAGGCATCTATGGAAGGATTAAGCAGAGGAATAACAAAGTGTGTCAGAGTGAATCAAAGAATGAAATCCTTAGGGACTCCAACACATAAGACTCAGAGCACGGGCAGGATTGCGGAACCAG